ACAATATATACAACAGGTACAATAGATACAACAGATACAACAGGTACAATCGATACAACAGGTAACAATGCATTATTAAACATTATAAATGAGTTCTACAATGTGTCCTCTGTCCTCTGCAGAGACTGGACTGAGGAGGTTCGGATCAAGAAGACAGTCGACGCCTGGATCAGCACGTTGACCAAAGACATCCAGGTGAGCTCAGCAGGTCACACACCACCTGGAACACCTGGAACACCTGGATTCCAGGAGGAAACCCCTGGAAAAGACCTGGAAAACAGACTGACATTAATCTAACTGGATAGACTGTTTATAAAAACTCCTCCTCCTCCTCCTCCTCCTCCTCCTCAGGCTGATATCTCCTCAGACGACGCTGTGAACAAAGCCTCAGCCAGCAGAGACGCCACAGTGACATCACAGCAGAGGGCTGCTGGGAGCTCCGCCCCCGCTGGCAGGGGGAGGCCAGTGAGCGCGCTCAGAGGACCAGGAAGACGGGTCAGACTCTTTTCTGATCGATTGATTTGATGAGGAAGTCATTGATTGAGTGATGTCATCGATGGCTTCTGTGTCATGTTGCAGGAGGCGGAGCCTGGCAGAGGGAGGCCGACGGTCCGGGAGCAGGTGGAGGTGGACGGAGAGTCGTACCTGACGCGTCTGTACGGCAGAGCGCCGCACGAAGGGCTGAGACGAACCCTGAAGAAGAGTCCGTACCTCCGGTTCAGCTCACCTGTCTCACCACCCGGCAGGAAGCCCCGCCCCCGACTGGTGGAGAGTGTCAGAGGTCACACAACTGTTTACTCTTTATTTTATTAAATAATTATTCATTATTAAATGTGACTTTTTTATTTATGTTATTAGCTGTGTGTTAGCACAGAACCGTCCAATCAGAGCTCAGTCCTGTGAGCTGTTGGTCAGTGGTTCAGGTATCTAACGACAGCGTCACAGGTTTGATTACAGTCTGTCTCCATCAGGTGTGAAGGTGAAGTCCTGTAAGACTCAGACCTGTTTGGCTCCTCCCCTCAGTCCGTCACCTCGACGACC